AAAAAAAAAAAAAAGAAGTCTAGCTTCCTATGAAATCTGAGAGGAAGTTACCACTGATTTCAGAAATCTGATTGTAACAATAGGTCCATCCTTAAATGAGGTGAATCTTGTAATCCCTTCATTTTAAAACCATCACTATGCACCATATGCCTATGCTAGGCACTGGAATAAGATGAAGCACCTTCTTGGAGTTTACACGCTGGTAATTGTGCCAGTCAGTCAGTAATAATATAGGTAAGAATGGCTGTGGGGGAAGTCAGCTGGGTTCTAGTTTACAGTCGCATTTCAGGAACTTATTTAACATGCTGACTTAACAACCTAAGCCTCCTCTCCATGTGTGCACACAGGGTAGACCTCTGAAGGGTGGCACTGTAACTTCTAGGGTAATGTGTTAAGTCAAGGCAGGATGATAGTTCAGCCTCCTCCCAGGCTAGTGCAAAGGGTTCTTCACTCGGATTGAAGTCTTCTCTCCCAGACTGAATTCCCCACCCCCAACAGCCCTCCTACAGAAAATTTGGAGTCCTTGCTTATTCCCTGGCGGCCCCTACCCAATAGGGTCGTGAATCAATTATCAAACATGCAACAAAAGATATAGAAAGTTTAGCGAAAATGGCAACATTTTGGAATAAGTGACTGTAATGTGCGTTCTGCCTGCCACCCTAACTGGCACACATTTTGCAGGTCACTTGCTCTCTCTGGAAGGAGGAGTATTCTCAGATTGCACCTCGGAGGAGGAAGAGTTCAGGCTGCCAGAACTGGGCTAGCGCTTCTGAATATCCTGAGGCAAGGTCCTGTGACTTCCCTGGGAAGCTCTGCCGTGCCCCCGCCCCACTCCACCCCACCCCACCCCACCCCACCCCACCAGACTGCTGGAGTCCTGGGACCACCCGGGTCTGTGGCCCAAATCCTTCCTAAGGGAAGGGGAGGGGGGCTTGGGCGGGATTGTGACATAAGATCGCCATGGTGACATGGAGCAGATTTAGACCCGAGCCTAATAAAGGTAGCATAAATAAAGGTGTCATAAAGGACAGGGTGGGGCACATGCTTGTCAGGGACAAGAGCCTCTAGGGGCTGCCAGAATGGCTCCTGCTCAATGTGTGGCACCAGCGCTTGTCATGTCCCGGCTACGTCTCTGGGCCCTATGGCCCCTACTCACGTGGCAACTATTGTGGCTACTAGTCCAGGAGGCTCAGCCTCTGGAGAGGGTCAAGGACCCACTCCAGCTGACCTCTAACACCCTGGGGCCGACTGAGCCCTGGTCTCCCTGCTCCAATCTCCCATGGGAATCTCCCCATGTGCTTACTTCCCTGGCAGGCCTGGGGGCTTTGATTAGCTGGGGTCCTCTGCTTCCTCCCAGAGGTCAGCCCTGCCGCAGGAATCAACTGAGAATTTGGTTCCATTCCTGGTCACGGATTCAGCTAGAGAGCTGTCCCCAGGGCCAGAGCCCTTCTCGTCTGCACACCTGGATCTGAATGACAAGCTGACTCAGCAAGAGAGGCTCCCAGAGGTGGGTCCAATGCTGGACTGGGATCAGAACCAGACCCTACTTCAACCTCCTCCTCTCAAAAGTAAGATTCAGACTACAGATCTAGATCAGGCTGCAGATTATCAGGCAGATGAGATACTCATTCCACCTCTAGACAGTAAGGATTCAAAAGCAACCAACTTTATAGTTTCTCCCAAGAACCTGAAGAAAAATCTAGCTCAGCATTGGAGGCTTGCTAAGGTTGTGGGAATTCTACATCGATTCCACTTTCTCAATTCCATCTAGAGACCAAAACTCAAAATCCAGAGACCCTTGAAGAGATCCAGTTCTCTTCCCTACAGCAAGAAGCCCCAGCGCAGCTTCCACAGCTCCCTGAGGAGGTAGAACCTTCTTCAACCCAGCAGAAGGCTCCAGCTCTGCCTTCACAGTCCCTTGAGGGGGTCCACTCTTCTTCAACAGAGCAGGAGACCCTTGTGCAGCAGTTACCTGCCCCTGAAGCGATCGTAGCTCACCCATCGATACAGCACAAGGTAGATGTTCCCTTTAAAAGTTGGTGTGAAGCTCAGCACTCACACTTGCCCAATGTCACCATCAAGCTTGTGAATGTGGAGCTTACAGGAACTCCAGAGCCAGGTAAGGAACTTATATCAAACCAGGAACAGGCCACAGCTCAGCCTCCAGAGCACCCCGAGGAGGTGAACTCTTCCTCAACCTAACTAGAGACCTCAGCTCAGACACCAGAGCATCCCAAGGAGAGGAAACCTTCTGCATCCCAGCAAGAGACCTCAGCTGAGCCTCCGGGTCCTCCCGTGGAGACTGAATGTTCCCCCAGTGAGCAGGAGCAGCCAGCTCAGCCTCTTGAGTCTTCTGGGAAGCTTGAACCTTCTCAGACCCAGGAAGAGACCCCAGCTCAGCCTCCCAAAGAGATGGAACCTTCTGCAATCCAAGAGGAGACCCCAACTGAGCCTCCAGGTCCTCAGCATCTAGAGGAGGTGGAACCTTCTGCAACCAAAGAGGAGGCCACAAAGGAGCCTCCAGGTCCTCCTATGGAGCCTGAACTTTCCCCCAGTGAGCAGGAGCAGCCAGCTCAGCATTCTGAATCTTCTGGGAGCTTGAACATTCTCAGACCCAGGAGGAGACCCCAGCTCAGGCTCCCAAAGAAATGGAACGTTCTGCAATCCAAGAGGAGACCCCAATGGAGCCTCCAGGTCCTCCTATGGAGGCTGAACTTTCCCCCAGTGAGCAGAAGCAGCCAGCTCAGCCTTCTGAGTTTCCTGTGGGGGGCTGAACCTTCTCTGACCCAGCAGGAGGCCCCAGCTCAGCCTCCAGAGCCCTCTGTGGAAAGTCTAGCTCAAGCTCCACTGAATCATGAGCTGACAGTTCAACCTCCAGATGAGGATGAAGCTCATTATAACTTGCCGAACATTACAATTAAACCTACAGATGTGGAGATTACCATAACTTCAGAGCCTACCAAGGAGAAAGAATCTTCCCAGGCCCAGCGGGAGGCCCCGGCTCAGCATCTAGAGGAGGTGGAACCTTCTGCAGCTGAACGGGGGACCCTGACTGAACCTCCAGGTCCTCCTATGGAGCCTGAACTTTCCCCCAGTGAGCAGGAGCAGCCAGCTCAGCATTCTGAATCTTCTGGGGAGCTTGAACCTTCTCAGACCCAGGAGGAGACCCCAGCTCAGCCTCTCAAAGAGATGGAACCTTCTGCAATGCAAGAGGAGACCCCAACAGAGCCTCCAGGTCCTCCTATGGAGGCTGAACATTCCCCCAGTGAGCAGGAGCAGCCAGCTCAGCCTTCTGAGTCTTCTGGGAAGGTTGAATCTTCTCCAGCCCAACAGGAGCCCCCAGCCCAGCCTCCAGAACATCATGAAGTAATAGTTTTACTGCAAGGTCACCATCAAGCTCATCATTCTGATTTGCCATATATCACTGTTACGCCTCCAGAGGTGCAGCTCACCATGGCAACAGAGCCTACTGCAGTGATGGGAACTTCTGCAATCCACCAGGAGCCTACAGCTCAGCTCTCAGGACCCATTAGGGATGTAGAACCTTCCACAACCCAGCACGGGGGCCCACCTCTGCCTCCAGAGTCATTGGAAGAGGTTGGACCTTTACCAATTCAACAGGAGACTTCAGTTCAGTCTCCAGAACCTATTAAGGATGAGAACCCCTCTCCAACCCAGCAGGAGGCTGCAGCTGAGCATCCACAGACCCCTGAGGAGGTTGAGTCTCCCCTAACACAGCGTGATGCCCTAGCTCCGACTCCACAGCTCCCTGATGAAATTGTAGCTCAACCTCCAGAGCATCATGAGGTAACAGTTTCTCCTCTAAGTCATGACCAAGTTCAGCCTCGAACATTGCACAATGTCACTGTTAAACCTGTGGATCACATCGTTATCATGACTCCGTATTTCACTCATCAGGTTGAAATTTTAACCCAACAGGGGGACCCAGCTCAGTTCTTTTTTTTTTTTTTAGTGAAAGAATTAGATCAC